GGACGAACAATGTATTTTATCAATTGATGTTTATAATATACCAATTCTATTGAGGGTGTGGGCGTGGACTGAGATCTGATGAAAACACCCATACCCTTCAGTGCACTACTTCTAGAGAATTCTCAAGTGAATGATTCGTTTTTGGGAACAAAAACATTATATTGGATATCTAGAGGCATAATTTGTCGAGTTCTAGTGACTATTATTATATTAGCTTTTAATTTTGTGCGCTTCAAATTCTAAGAGAAAAAATTATGATTATACATATACAACGAATACGTAGGAAATGTTGCATCAGGCATTTATTTTGACCTCAACAAATATTAAAGAAGTTCTCGTTCTAGGTAACTGAGATTGCTCTATCTAACAATAAATACAAATCTTGAATTTAAACACTGTCATTTGTTTATATTCTTAGAACCAAATGGTACGACGGTCATGCCACACATCTAAAATCAATTATTTTTATTTATATCAACAGTAAGAGTCCGTAACAGCGACCTCATGGCAAATATAACTGTTCTTATCAATTCAAAATAGGGCGCTGGGAGATGAAGGGTATTATTTTTCACTTAATAAAGGACTCACATTCTTACTTTGAAATTACTTGGGACCAAACGAGAATCAATTATAGAATAGTAATTCCTTCATAATTGTATCGTATTCTGTTTCTCACTTACACCATAAGCTTGCTTATTTCTCAATGTATTTAAGTTGTACTAGCTTTGTTTAGAACGCATTATTAAACGGTACTAAACTATAGTCCAAATGAAAATGTTTGGCACGTGTACTATTTTATTATTATTTTTTCTCATCGATACAATTTCTACTGCGGCAGTAACTACGTTTCCCAGAGCAACTGGCAATGTTACCTATACGAATGCGCGTGTTCTTGCTCAGAATGAAATATTTGATGGTGCAATGAGAAGATTCGACCGAGGAAGTAAGTTTCTTTAACATTCATTTTCGGAATGTACTTTTATATTGATTTATTCTAAAGGAGGTGCTTGCAAACAACAAGTAGAAGGCGGCAAAGCAGATGCTGTTTTCATCTTAGAGAATGGTGCAACATTAAAGAATGTTATTATCGGTCCTGATCAAGCAGAAGGTAATGCTATCGTTTTAAATGTTAATGTTATTGTGACTCAATGTTCTGATCCATGCTGCAGGTGTTCACTGTCAAGGATCTTGCAATATCATCAATGTTTGGTGGGAAGATGTGTGTGAAGGTAAGTTTCATTCGCCTACTTACAAATGAAAAACAGTAAACTTCGTAGGATTTTAACAACGGAAACTTCAGCAGGCTACGCGAGTACTTGATAAAACTTAGATATCCCATGACACTTTTCGCTATAGATCAAATTTTCGACTTGAAATTTAATTCATATGACATGAAGGAATCAAATGTTAGGCGTGAAGTGAACACTATTTAGTTTCGCTTTATTTCGTCAAGAGTAGATTATTTTCGGAAAATAACAAGTTTTTTTCTTATCAAGACTGACTGAAAACATTTGAGGTAAAGAATATCAAATACGTAATCGGTTTAATACAACCTTCTTGACTTTACAGGTACTCAGCCAAGAAAAATAAATCGTTATTTTCTTCAAAAAAAGCTCTTTTTTTGCAAAAAAGGGTGTGGGTGTGGGTGTGGGGGATATGACTGACTGCTCACTTAACACACACACCACCCACACCCACACCCACACCCGTCAACATCGCCAACTTTTGAGGTGCCAGAAAAATGAATTTTGTTATCGAACGAATTATAGAGCTAGAATTATTTTCTGAATCACATTAGATGCACTTACCATTAGACAAATTTCCGGAACTACAAGAATCACTGGTGGTGGTGCCAAGAGTGCACAGGATAAAGTGTAAGATCTCTTCGAAAATTGATTTTACTCATTCTTTACCTAATTAGCATCCAGCACAATGGGGGAGGAACCATCATTGTCACCGACTTCTACGTGAGTACACTCTATCGATAGGTAATATTGTTTTACAGAATGAATAGGTTCAAGATTTTGGTAAACTTTGGAGATCATGTGGGAACTGTGGAACTCAATATCCACGCCACTTACAATTGAACGGTGTCATTGCAAAGAACGGAAAAGTTCTCGCCGGTGGAAATGGAAACTACAATGGTAAGATACTTTTGCACCTATTTCTTGTGCTATAAATTTATCGTGAACAGATACCGTCAGGATCTCGAACACATGTGCTACAAACGTCAATTCTATCTGCGACACTTACAAGGGTTGTAACAATGGTTGTGCACCAGCCAAAATTTCATCAGGCCCTTCGAATGTCTGCCTGTATAGAACAACGGATATCCGATGTTAAATCATATCTTTGAACATTGATTTTGTTCTTTTCATAATGGAAAGCAATATATTTCACTTCGGTCATACGATGTTAAAACATGATTCAATTGAAGCTATTATTGTCTCACATCAGTGAGCGATTCGAAAACAACTTTCTTGTGCTATTCGTTCTAATATATAAGAGAGTACTGCTTGATCTAGAATATAGAATCGTCATAGCAACTGTTATTGGCAGGCGCGATGATAGAATGAGTGTCATTGAAAGGATAGGAACTAGAATGTTAAAGAATAGGAAAGTGGAAACAAATTGTTTAGTAGATAATCAATCAAAAGCAATACAATTAACTGGTGTTGCAAGTATGCTTCTCGGCAACCAATCATCATCATAATCAATTTGAAAAGAATGATTCAAATATTGAACACAATGACAATATATGTTAGTCATGAAAACAAAAATGTTCGATGTCATTTTGACATAAATCTATCTAACATAATGTTAACGATCGTTCACTCGTTATTTCCTTTTTTTTATTCAGGATCATCATTGTTGTAAATCAGGGGATGGGAAGACACACACACACACACTTAGAAGATACATGGGTATATATAGCTTTTAAGTGAGTCAAGACTCCTGAGTCAGGCATCCCATGCCCATGACACCTCCCCCTCTCAACGCAATAGTTTATATGGTAGCGAACGAAGATAATGATGAAAGGAAGAGTCGAACAGGAACGAGGAGGGTAAGAGAAAAGAACAAACCAAAGACAAATAATAAAAGTGGAAGAGAAAAAGTCAGTTATCATATTCGCTTGTATGTAAGTGTACTAATGTATGAGAGAATGAAGCCTGTATGAGTCCAGAACACAGGGTGAAAATGAATTTGGAGCGAGCAGAAGTGTGTATGCTAAAGACATACGGACTGCCACTAGCCGATTATAGTCTTTGAGGTGAACAAAATAAGAAATTAATGGTGATTGTACCATGTTGGTGTGCTTCCATGATGATAGTGGGTACAGTTACGTTGGAATAGGAAGGTTTAGGTTATATAAGTGGACAAGCATAGAATCATAACATTGAGTGAAGTAAGGGTTGAGTGGGTCGTCTACTGCTCAGTGGTACAGTAGAACGGCCAGTGCACCATTGTTAAAGATCGTTCACTCGTTATTTCATTTTTTATTCAGGATCATCATTGTTGTAAACCAGGGGATGGGAAAACACACATACACTTAGAAGATACATTGGTATATATAGAGATTTTAAGTGAGTCAAGACTCCTGAGTCAAGCATCCCATGTTCATGACTCAAGGAATTCTGACTTAAGAGAGTGAACAAACATACCAAGGATGACGTATCATGGCTGAAGGCCATGACACATAAGTTTATCTGTTGATAACAAATCTGCAGCACATACATAGCATGATCATGGTTAGAGTGAATTATGACTACTACTCTATAGTGCTCTTGCTGATCCATGAAGAACCATTTAACTTGAGAACCAAAGTGAAATATTAATTGAAGAACAATAGAAAAAATAAATCATAACAAATGGCTGCATTCTGTATTTCTTTAGAAGTGTAAAAGCTACTCTAATTGTGCGTTTTTTTTGCTTTTTTAAAAATAAATGTACTGGATGACAACAAAAAAGAGATATACCAAATGCAGCCATCCATCGTTTCTCAGACAGTCCATCTATTGATGGGATGCTGTAGAAATTAGACACAGGAACGGCTTTATAGTTTTAGAACTTTTATAAACTATCAGAGTGCTCTTGACAGAATTGTCAACTATGGATTGACTCAAGAATGGTAAATTTCAAGTTGGCAAGCTAACCATGAACGATTTTCTGGAGAAAAGAGTCACAAACATTATATCAACCAACTTCTGATTCGTTATATCTGATTAAAAATGAAGAACGATAGTGGTGAATGAAGAAGCAAAATCAATTAGTTAGAGAAATTAAGCTATGAAAAAGGCGAGAAAATCTATACGTATTATACATGATTAGATAGAGCATAAACTTCTTCTTTCAATACTGTGAACAACGCCCATCCCTATACTAATACCTTCACTATGTACACATAGCACACGTGCTTTCAATCTTATTCGTGCTTTTCGATTGAAGATAGTCATTCACCGACTAACATATATTCAATTCGAACGCGATAAATTTCTCATGCGGCGACGTTATTATGAAACGACAACAAATTCTATTTATCGATCTTGATATGTCAAGGAATAATTGTTATAAAACAGATATCAAAATGAACCATTTTTCCTGACCCGCCTCCATTCAACTTTTCATCGATCAAGTTCAATTCCGAAGGAAATTCCGTTTACAAAGATTTTTTCCTGATATAATTCGGATATTACTTCAGTAATTAGCAATGTACTTAGGAGCACATAATTCACGTTATAATGAATTTGTTTAGTTCAGATGTTCAAAATTAAAATAAAGAAAATATGAGATTAGTTGAATTGCTCGTTGATTCAAACTAGCTGGATATGCAGTAATTTGTTTTCAACGAATAATGATCATCATGCATAAGTCGATATTATAAGGCATATTATCTATTGTTGACTTTAACCCGACATAAGCGCGGCGTATTTCAATCTTATGTGTCGGAAAGAATCTGTTGCTATGCATAATCTGTTTTCCACTGCTTGTTAGCCTTCTGATATGTCAAAATCAAGAGATGCTCTTGCTCAAAAGCAAAACAGTACAAATTCAACAGGATTATCATTTCTCCAGAAAATATTATACTTTTATGAGTTTGGTTCGATTTTGATCCCTTTTTTCTATTAATCACATTTTCACATTAACTTACCTGGTTGATACACTATAGAACATTATATTTCCTATGGTAAAACTCTTTTGATAATTTCTATTACGCAAAAGAGGTGTAAGACTTAGTAAAAATGAAAAAAACGTAGAATCGGATCAACGCGAAGATAAAATGTGATCCGTCCGACCTGCACTAGTATGCGAACGATATTTTCAAGAAAAGAAGGATTTTGGAAGATTAACGAAAAACTATTTTGGAGAATTGCTCTCAAAAATCGAGGAAGACAGAAGAGGGTGTGGGTGTGTGCTTTTATGTAAATCACACGCACATATCAACAGCCATGGCTGTTACCACACTGACACTGCAATGAATAAACAATGTCAAATGCGGCAATATGTTTCGCATTATGATTTCTTTTGTAGCTATATAACAGACATCTAAAAGTGTCCGCTTTCAAAAGTAAATCGACTAAACTGAATTACACATTTTCGACCATTGTAACGTAGTCTAAGGTCTCAAATTAGTGATTTTCTAGTACTCTGGTATGTGCGCTTTCTGATGCACTAGGAGAAAATTCTCTCAGAGCAAAACTCATGACGCAAAATCAAATTTCTTTCAAAGTATCGGTATATCACGATAATTCCCATTCTGTTCTGAATGAGAGCAGTATAAAATATGATATGACCTCAAGAGCATGGCCATTGAGCGGCTGAGATTAAAATCTTCAAAACTAAAAAGAAAATTGTCGAAAACAAACGACTTTTGACTGGATTACAAGAGTTTTCATCGAACAAGCAAAAGCATCAATCGAAATTACCTTTTTTTCGAAAATCTCAGAAAATGAATTTCTTCATTATTTGCTAATTTAGCATTGAAAAAACTTTCAGACACAAGTTTTAGATGCAGAATTTCATACTCTTTTCAGTGGTTGTCTCAGTTTTTGAGTATGTTGATGACGAAGCATAGAAAGCCTAAGAAAATTAAGTTTTGCCATTGAAAATTGGCACTTTAAGACATCTATATTTCTTCTTTTATTACTTTGCCCTGTTTTCATTTAGAAAACCATTTGCATACCACCTTGCAGAGAATCGAACGATGGTTCTTTTTGCTAAAAACGTTTGACCTGACAGTGCCAGAACTGAAGGAGCTATTGGGAAAACAAAAAAAATACTTATTTAATTTGGCCCACTCGCTATTCGCGTTATATGTCATTTTTTGTATGGCACAAGTAATGAGAAAACAGAATAATGAGACATGAAGTCATTAATTGAGAAGTATCGACGTTTATGCTTAGTCAATTTTCTGCTGAGAAAAACTTTAAAACATTGTTTCTTAATCGCCGTTCTTATTGTAAGTG